GGCCAAAATAGAAAATACAACAAAACCAACAACAAAAATGAATAAAATGTGTAATGGTCAATTTCAAGTTGCCAGCAAAGACACTGACTGTCCACCGTTTGGTTGGCATTACATAATTGCTGGAAACGGCTAGAGGATGTTGCTGCCGATGCTGTCGCTTTTCACGTTGTTGACGATGCCCATTGAGCTGATGTTGTTTATAATGAAAATGAAATTGTTGTTGCTGTTGTTGTCGTTTTTCTTGTTGTCTAGTTAGGCCGGTATTGGCTCAGTAGGCCTCTGTGTTTTTCTTTCATTTCGTTTCTGTTTTTTTTTTCTTCTTAGGAATTTCCATTTGAATTCTCATCACCAGACCAGGCCAGACCTGGAGAATTGCTGCAACAATTGACACAAATTTGCTTAACAGTGCAAAGCGTGAATCTAAATAGCCAAAAAAAAAACGCAAACAAAAACTGAAAATTCGCACTGCACGAATAGTTGCCAACTGCAAAACTCAATTACTGGGTTACTGCAAGACGTCTGCAAACAACCAACCAGGGGGGGGACATATTTCGAAAAAATATTTTTCACACAGTATTTATGTTTAGTTTGCTTCGAATTCGAGGTAATTTGGGGTTGAATTGAAGTTTTTTTTTTTCAGAAATTATTAAAAGGAAGCAAGGAGGCCGAATTTTTGTATCAACATCTGAATTATCTATCATAGAAGGTCTTACAGGTAGAAGGCTTCTTAGGGAGAGAGTTATATTTCAATACCTAATGGAGCTGTCTGATTTTTTTCTGTCTAGGAATTTCGACTTTTGCAAATAAATTCCGTATTTTGTTAACCATTTATTTAGTGGCCATCATCAATATTATTTCCAAAAAATATGTATTGCATCTAACCCCAAAAGTATGCAATATACATGGAAAATGTTATTAAAGAGCAATAATAAAATTGAAGCATAGATGGCGTTCCTTATTCAGAACGGTTATGTTGACAGTTTTGAAGCCATAGGTAGTGCGGATATATTTAATCACAATTAATTTTAGACTTTTTCTGGGAAAAATATTTCTATTTTCTAGAAAGGTATGCTTCCAAAATAATGTTAAAAAAACATTAAAACTGTAGTATAGATGGCGTTTCTTATAAGAGATAAAATAATGTGGAGAATGATTTTGAAAATTCGGACAATTGGAAGTTTTCTAAAGATTAAAAACTTTATACTCCGCACCTTTAAATCAATTTAGAAAATCCCTGACATTTTCAAGATCATAGCATTACTTATTTTGCCTAAGACTTACAAGGTGATAGATATTGAAATTGATGTATAGATGGCGTTGCGTATAACGTATATGATATGCTATTCTTTTTTTAAATTAAAATTCATGTACCGACATTAACTAAATATTCATTCGATTCATAAAAATCCATAATCCCAACTATTTTGAAACTTCAAATCTAACGAAGACTGTGGAGATATAATTAAGTTATATGGTCTTTCTTACTATAGGATCTTGTTTTCTGCTACTTCACCGCTCAAATATTTCACCGATTCATAAATGTGACTGTCTAATCAATTCTCCGTAATAGAATTGAATTTCTGAATTTCTGTTGTACAAAAATCCATACCGAAACGAATACTACCAATATCGAATAAACGTACAGATGTCGTTGTTGATAATTCATGGACAGTGGGGTTAACATCTCTTGATGAAGGGTTGCCTTAACAAATCCGACTTTACATGTTAAATCAAGATGGCGTTGTTTATAGCGTAAGGGCTTTGTGCTCTAATTATCATTGAGGTTTGTTTCCTGTAACTCATCGAGCGAAATATTCTGCCAAATCATAAATGTCACAATACCACGAATCTCAACATAAGTTGCAACATCAGCATTAACTGAATCGAGTAAATCAATTTCGAATTTACGTACAGATGGCGTTGTTGATGAATTATGAAGAGTAGAGTGAAATTCTCTTGGTGCCAGCTTTCCGATACCGCCGCGATACTGAAGGTAAAGTAAAGCTAAAGATGGCGTTGCTTAAAAGCGTTTGGACTTTATTGAGCCTTGTTTCTTGCACCTTTGCCAGCGAAATATTCCTCCAATCTATAAAATCCACTATCTCATAAATCTCACCACGAATCTGTTGGAATTGGTCTTCAAAAACGAAGTTCAGGTAGGAGTTGGAACAGCAGCATTTGCTGAAGTGGAAATTTTTACAGAGATCATACTTCTGGCGAAAAGTAGAGTTAACGTACAGATGGCGTTGCTTCTATACCTAAGGGTTGTTGTCAACAATTTTATTTAACATAAAACTATAAAGACTGGACAAAATGCATATGGGCTTTAATTTTTGAACCAGGTTATAGATAGCAGGCGACATAACAGAAATGCATTGGAAATTTTAAAAAAATATGTTATTCTGATATCGCCGAAAAATTGCGGAAATACGTGGAAAAAAATATCAAGTATGATATACATGATCTCAAAAATCTATTCCAGAGCATTTCCTTGTTCATTGAGTCGATAAAATCAACAACAACCCTTAAAGTGTCAGATCTGTTAAAATATAACATAATGCTATATCACAATATTTAGGTATAGATGGAGTTATCAATATTCACAATTCATAGACAAATATAGCTATTTTTAGGTATAGATGGCGCTGAAGTTTAATAGATTTCTATTAAAAGTGGAATATTTTCGAAAGTGTTAATAAAAATCATTGATTGCTTGAGCGCCACAAGGTGGAAACTTTTAAAAATATAAAATTAATAGTATAAAGACCGGTAATTGTTTAATTATTTACCAGTAGTTTATTGTGAAAAGGGACACTACATTAACAATGAAGCTTTATTTTCTTAACTTATTTTTAGGTATAGATGGCATTCTCTATTACTTATAATTTAGATTTTTGTAAAAGTTTCATCCAAAATCGAGATTATTTACAATTCAAAGGGAATGGAGCCACTTTTAGGTACATATGGTGTTGAAGTTATTATTTTTCATAATATATAGAAAATGAAGCTAATTTTAGATGTAGATGGCGCTGAAGTTTAATGGAAATTATGGAATAATTTCGAAAACGGTCATAGGAATTTGATTGATGGCTTGGGCCCCACAAGTTGGAAACTTCTAAACATTTTATAGATATAAAATTAATAGAATATTTTAACAATAAAGCATGAGTTTTTGAGTTTATTTTTAAGTATAGATGGCGTTCTCTATTATGTATGCTTTAGATTTTTGTAGAAGTTTCAGCGAAATCGTAGATTTAAAATTCATTGAAAATTGATCTCCTTTTAGGTATAGATGGTGTTGAAGTTAATATTTACAATTTATAAGAAGTGGAGCTTTTTTTAGGTATAGATGCCATTGAAGTTTAATAGAAATTGTGAATTATTTTCATAAGCGTTCATAGAATTCACTGTTTGGGCGCCACAAGTTGGAAACATCAGATCGTTTGTAAATATAAAATTAATCAGATATAGGCCAATAAATCAACAACATCACTTTATCAAATCATGAGTTTCTGATGAGTTAAGTATAGATGGCGTTCTTTATTACGTACAATTTAGATTTTTGTTGAAGTTTCACCCAAATCGTACATTATTTACAATTCATAATAAATGGACCTACTTTTATTCATTGCTTGGGCGCCACAAGTCGGAAACTTTTAAACATTTAATAGAATGAAGGCCTGTAATTTTTTAATAATTCATTATGGTTTTTTTTTTCTTCAACAACAAAGCATACGCTTCTGAGTTTATTCTTAGGTATAGATGGCGTTCTTTATGATGTATGGTCTAGATATTTGCAGTAGTTTGACTAAAATCGTAGATTATTTACAATTCATTGGAAATGGAGCTACTTTTAGGTACAGATGGCGTTGAAGTTTAATAAAGAAATTTTGGTTCATTTTCGCAAGTGTTCCATAAAATCTTCTATATTCTAAATATTTATAAATATAAAATAAATCGGATACAGGCCAATAAATGTTTTTTTTGTCAAAAAGGGCACTTCATCAACAATGATGCATGAGTTTCTGAGTTTATTCTTAGGTATAGATGGCGTTCTTTATTTAGATTTTTGTTGAAGTTTCACCGAAACCGTAGATTGTTTACAATTCATTGGGGATAGAGCTAATTTTAGGTACAGATGGTGTTGAGGTTATTTTTATTATTATTCACAATTCACAGAAAATGAAACTACTTTAGGGTATAGATGGCTTTGAAGTTCAGTAGAAATCGGGAATTATTTTCATAGAAACCACTGATTATTTGGGCGCCACCAGATGGAAACTTCTAAATATTTTATAAAAATAATTGTAATTGTTTAATTATTCATTAGTGTTTTATTGTGTAAAAGAGGCAACAAGCATGGATTACATTCCAAAATCTGGGCCAGTCTTTGATAGCAAATAAATTAAGTAATTAATCACAAAACAATTGTCGTAATGCTGACTGTAATGAAGCCCATTGTCTTTAGCTTGGGCATGAACTATGGCTGGCTGCCCGGCGCAAAGAAACAGTCATCCGACCAAAAGTCATTGCATTTGACTCGAAACATTATGCTGTGTGATTATTGTCGAAGCTGAGCGTAATTTCAAAATAATCAGGCGGTGATTATAAGACGTAAAAAGTTGCGTTTACTCTGAAGAAATCCGTTGGCTTGTTTTTTTTTTTTGCAATTTCATGGCATGATTTATTTTTCCCATGAATGTGGGTTATTATGTGGATATGTATGCATGTAAATTTTTGGCTACATAATTATTATATCATCCATGCAAATCATGTGATTTAAAATTAAATTGAAAATAATGGATTTGGCGTATCCCTCTACATGTGAATAATTTTGAAAGTATTTGGAAGCTGTTTTCTAGATTTAATACATTTTAGAGGCTTCCTATTAATTGGAGATCTTCCTTAGGCCATCTTTGCTTTTTTGTTAATCTGCCTTTCCTTAAAAATATTTTTTTTATTTCATTTCCGTTTTTTTTTTTCATTTCATGGCCATTTAGCTGAAGAGGGTCACCGTGACTTCCAATTCTGGGTGGCGAATGCAAAAAATTCCAGTTTCATCTCCATGGCCATAAAAGGCCAGCAAGTGTACAGGTATGTAGAAAAAATACACTTTTTTTATTGTTTTTGGTGTGAAACATAATTTTCTAATAAATATTCCCATAAATCCTTCACTCAAATTGGCACATAAAAAAAAATTGAAACAAAAAAATTGAAAATAAATTCCCATCAATCATTCCATAATTTCTAAGGCTGTCTGATTAAATGTTTCTTCAATGTTTTTTGATTCGTTCATGTTGTTATTTCATCGTTTGTATTGTTGTTGTAATGTTTTTTGTTGTCGTTTTTTATGATTATTTTGCTTTAGACTCAACTATCCATTGCGCGTCCGCCAATGGCATCATACCTGTACATCATGGAATGGCAAAACTGGTGAATGGCAGGTCTGGCTAAAAGCCGAACGTATTGGAAGAGGTTTTCACAATTCGGTAAGTTTTTTCGATTCAATTTCGTTTTAATTTCAATTTAAATAATTTTTTGACCGGCAAACAACTCCTAAATTCAAAAATTCGATTTACAAAGAAAAAACCACAAATTGAATAGCCCTTCACCGCTTTTGAGAGATCAATTATCCAACGTTTATGGTTCAAGATCGAGCTCACGTATGCGTGTAGATGTATCATAAAAGATGCTGTAATAAAAAAGTTCATTGTCTTCCGGCGAGAGATAGTTTGGAAAAGGCAGATTTCAAAAAAAAAAAAATAATAATAATAAAAGGGAAAGTATATTGGGGTGGAGTGAAATTTCGGCTATGAAAATTTTATTAAAGTTTGAGTAATTATTCAAACTTTTCGGATGTGTTTAATACGCTTCTTTAAAAATTAAAAAAAAAAATTAAAAATTATTATAAAAGAGAGCTACACTATCCTACAAAATGTTCCTTATCAATGTGCTGAAAAAATTTTAACTGGGTCGAATTAAAATATTTTTATGCCCTCCACCATAGTATGGAGGGTATACTAAGTTTGTCAGGGTATATTAAGTTTGTAACAACTCGAAATATACATTTTAGACCCCACAAAGTATATAATTCTTGATGAGGATAAAATTCTATGTCGATTTAGTGATCCCTGTCCATCCGTCTGTGGAAATCACTCTAGCTTCCGAACGAATTGAAGTAGATTGATAAAATTTTACTCAAATGTATGTTATGTCCGCAGGATTTTTGGTATTGAAAATGGGCCATGTAGGTCCACGTTTTGGTATAGCCCCCATATAACTGTATCTCCAGATATTCAGTATTTTAATGATTTTAGAGACATTATTTACCGGAATTGCATCAAATTTGGTATTCGTAGTTTGTAATGGATACTACAACCTGTAACAGAAAATTGTCTGTGCAGGTTCACGTCTTCGTATAGCCCCCATATAACGGTACCTCCCGATATTCGGTATTTTGATGATTTTAGCGACATTATTTACCGGAATTCTTTCAAATTTGGTATTTCAAGTTCGTAATAGATACTACAGCCTATGACAGAAAATTGTCTGTGCAGGTCCACGTTTTCGTATAGCCCCCATATAACGGTACCTCCCGATATTCGGTATTTTCAGGATTTTAGCGACATTATTTACCGAAATTCTTTCAAATTTGGTATTTGAAGTTCGAAATGGATACTACAGCCTAGGACAGAAAATTGTCTGTGCAGGTCCACGTCTTTGTATAGCCCCCATATAACAGTACCTCCCGATATTCGGTATTTTCATGATTTTAGCGACAGTATTTACCGGAATTGTTTGAAATTTGGTATTCGAAGTTCGAAATGGATACTACAGCCTAAGACAGAAAATTGTCTGTGCAGGTCTACGTCTTCGTATAGCCCCCATATAACGGTACCTCCCGATATTCGGTATTTTAATGATTTTAGCGACATTATTCACCGGAATTATTTCAAATTTGGTATTTCAAGTTCGTAATAGATACTACAGCCTATTACAGAAAAATGTCTGTGCAGGTCCACGTCTTTGTATAGCCTCCATATAACAGTACCTCCCGATATTCGGTATTTTAATGATTTTAGCGACATTATTTACCGGAATTGCTTCAAATTTGGTATTCGAAGTTCGAAATGGATACTACAGCCTAAGACAGAAAATTGTCTGTGCAGGTCCACGTCTTCGTAGAGCCCCAATATTACGGTACCTCCCGATATTCGGTGTTTCAATGATTTTAGCGACATTATTCACCGGAATTCTTTCAAAATTTGGTATTCGAAGTTCGTAAGGGATACTACAGCCTTAGACAGAAAATTGTCTGTGCAGGTCCACGTCTTCGTACAGCCCTCATTTAACTTCCAGGAGTTCTGTTATGGAAATTAGATAATTTTCTCTGCCTTTTCAAAATGTATTAATTATTTTTGTATATTTCCAGCTGGTGGGTCACAAAATCCCTCCCAAAGGAAAACTCTTCTCTGGTGGCCCCTCGGTGACTGGAAAAATCTCGGAAGGTCTGCACTTCGAGGTGACACTTATACAAATCTATCGTGTGGCCCTGAGTGCTGGCAAGGCCCATAGAGATCACAAACATCATCATGCCCATCATTTCGATCATGAGGGCAAGGAAATACATCCCACGACGAAGAAGCCACCAGTGGTAAGTTTTGGAATTTAAAATCTTAAAATTTGCTAAAATGTTTAATTTGCAGATCAACCGTCCTTTGCCTATGCATACTCTATTGGCCAATGGCCAAATACCCACCAGGGTGCGTATTAATTTGGCCCAACCTCAGACGGGTGTTGCTGCCAATGATATTCTCCCCAATCCCACCACAGCTGCCGAACAAGCCCTTACCATACACACGAACTTCATTAATGGTCAAATCAATGCCGGTTCTCGGTTGGTGGCCCAACAATTGATTGGCCTGAATCAGAAATATGGCCCCCAAGCTGCCCAAACTGTAAATCGCCAGGCCATCATTGATCCAAACAATCCAGGCAAGGTGAAATTCGTTGACGAAACCGAGACCCACATACTCTTCAAACGCGACATGATGAGTGGCCAGAAAACGGAGGGCAAGGAGAAGAACGTGCAAAAACGGGGCCTGGTATTTTTGGATGATGGCAGTATTGTGGATGATCCCCTAATAAGGGGAGCCGATGTCTTGAAATACGATGGCCTGGCTGTGTTTGGTGGCCAACAGTTCAAGGAGGAGTTGAGCGGCATCATGAATGTGGAAGATGAAATCACCGAACATGATCGTGAACCCGCCGAGGAAGAGGTAAAGGCTGTCATGGCTCTGTGTGGGGCCTGTGATGTGGAGCCCTTCCAGGGTGCCATCGTTTTTGCCTGGAAAAATGCCCGAGAACATCTGAACAATGCCCTGCAGGGTTACAGTGTCGGACGATGTGGCAATTTTTAGTTGAATTCGGAATGAGTTTTAGGTTTTAATTAATTTTCGGGTTAAGAAATAGTTCATTGTATTTGTAGCCACTAGTCAGGTTAATGAAGGTCAAAATTTTACACAAACAACAAAAAAGAAACAGAAATGACTCGGGGTCCACCACATGAAATGCAATTATTTTATTTTATTTAATAATAATTATTAATAAATATATTTTTTATAAAAAAAAAAATAGCGGAAAACGGCTTACCTTGGATTTGTGTATGTGTTGGTTTTTGTATTCCGAATCGAATTCCGGTTCACTGAAGTAACTCTGGGAGGAAAAGAGAGATATTAGATAATTTAAACTTTAAGAGTGTTTAACAAACCCTCACCTGATCCTGATCCCAGTGGGGTGGATTTGGCTGTGGCAGTGGTTGGGGTATACCCGGTCCTCCTGGCAACATTTGCGGCGGTGCTGCCACTTCCGTTGACTCAAACAACCTTAACACTGAACGATCTCGTATCTCTCTCAAATGCGACCTCACATCCTCCAGCTCATAGAACATATCCTTGCTGGCATCGTGTATATAAATCTTGACATTTGGCCCCTCCAAATATGCCATGGTCAGTTGCCGGGGAAAGGAACGCACAAACAATGCCCTCACCGTATCAATGGATGTTATTTCATTTGGCAACACTGCCATTTTTGTCTCCGATCGGTATTGCAGAAATACCAAACCTAAATGCGAAAGCAGCAGCCAATCGATGAAGAGAGAAAGAGAGAGAAACAGAGAGCACGAGAGAGAGAGAGAGGGGGGAAAGAAACAAACAATCGACACATCACTCAGTCTGTCAAACTCTCAGCTAAGCTAGGCTATGTGTGACACCATACCTAGAGGTCTTTCTAAGGTTTTCGAAGGTGTACGCACAACGGGTAACGAAGAACGTTGCTTACCGCCACGTCTGAACCCAGTACTGGCCGTTTCCACCTCAGACATGATGCCAGGATCGTCATCGAACAGGGGTCCCTGGTTGATGGGTGTGTAGCCGCGAAAGGGTTGGGCCTGAAAAGATATAAAAAAAATTTAATCAATAAAATAAAATCGGCAGGAATGTGAGGCTGACAAACCTTTTTACTTTTCTGCATGCGAGAGTTCATCTGGGAGTTCATCTGGAATTAAGAAGGGAAAATTTAAAAGAGGATATTGCAAAAATGATATTTAAAATGTATGTAATTTAGGGGTTTGGGAATTGCAGATCGTCTTCCTGGATTCGAAAGTCTTTATGAATTTGGTTCCACAAGGGATTAAATAACATATTTCCAGATCAAAATTCATTTTTTTTTTTTTGTTTGAAGTTTGAAATATTATTTTATTTTTGGCAACCAAAAATAAAAAATCGAAAATAATCGAATGTTTTTTTAGAAAATTTTCAATATTTTCTGACACAGAAATCTTATAGCATGTTTCCATTGGAAACCGAACAACGTTGTTCGCTCTCAGAATTAGGTACACGAATTAACCCGTTCATACGGCACGATTCGTAATTTATAGTAAAGTAATTCCTTTTTTCAAAAATTTTGTTTGTTGATTTTAATGGGAATTTATACGAAAATACATGAAATTCTCACTAATATGAATAGAAGAAATTATTGTTTTCCTCCCAAAGATTTATTATATCATTAATTTTACAATTTTCATTCAAGTTTTCAACTTTTTGTGTAAATGTTGACATTTTGAACATATTTTTGTGTTTTTCCATTTTTAATTTCTGCTGGAGAGACACTTGTCAAACATTTTTTCTGCCGATAGAAACATTTTGAAAATATTGCCTCTTTTGTTTGCAGTTTTCTGTGGAAAATTTAACTCGTGGACAAAATGCGTACCTCGAATGAGAGAGAAAACAAAATTTACTTTCGTTTGAATGTACATAGGCCATTCAACATTGTAGTTTTCATTCATAATTTTCAGTCTTCCCAAAAATTTTTAAATTTCATCAATTTTTTCTATTTTTAATTTTTAAATGTCATAATTTATTTTTTCGATAAATGCTCTCATTTGTTAGGGATGGGACATATTTTTTCGTTGTTCTGAGAGTAATTTGATTTGAACAACTTACAAATATGAGTGTTCGCTCAGTAAAATTTGTGTGAAGAATTAAGTTGTTTTTTCATAGTTAAGGGTCAAACAACGAATAGAGAGCGGATCAAGTGTAGTGGAAACGCCACATTAAGCATATATTTCAAAGAGGTAAAAATTTATTATTGGAATATAAGAGATTTCTTTTTTATTTTTCCCATTATTTTTTTTTTTAAATGCGAATGCTTTTAGGCCTGAATTTAAAATTCAATAAAAACTGGTAATTGCGCAAAGTGGAACTTTTTCAATAATTTTACGAAAGTAAAACGAAGAATATTGGCAATTTTAAGTGAATAAGTCAAAAACTTTTGTTTAATGACTATGTAAAATTGAAGCATACTTTTAGGCTCAAATATAAAATAACATGACCTATGGTTTGGTAGAATCAAGAAACTGAAGCCATGCAGTCATATTTCTACAATTTTATTCGAGATTATCTTATATCCATTTCCATTCCATTTTTTTTTCAAGAAAATTTCGAAATACTTTCAGACGTGGAATTAAAAGGCCATCATTTTCGGTAGTTGTGTCAAAGTGGAACATTTCAATACTTGGAAGCAGTAAACAGGAAAATAGTGGCCATTTTATTCATGTAATCCAAAAGCTTTTAGTTATTTCATGACTTTATAAAAAATTAAAGCATACTTTTAGGCAAATATAAAATAATACTAAAAGCCAATAATACTAAGAAGCTGAAGTCATGCAATCATATTTTTTGTTAAAAAATTATCATTGCCAAAAACCTATATTCATAAATTCACTCTATATACGAAACCCAGAGATGGGAACCTGTTTTTCAAGGCATTAAAAATTGGCAAGGTAATTTACAGAAAATGCAGAGATGTACACATATGCTTATTTGAAATGATATCTCCTTAATTCTACCATGGTCTATGTATTGAATATAGAAGTTCTCACCAATTTTTTTTTTCAACAAATTTCGAAATACTTTTAGGTTTGAAAATAAAAAATCCAATAAAAATCGGTAATTGTGTCAAAGTAGAACTATTTTCAATAGTTTGCGTCTGTAAGTGGAAAAATACGGGACATTTCATATAAAGGCTAGTTTACACATAATGTTAAAGTCATGTGTAAAGTGATTTTTCGACAATCACTTTACACATACTTTTAAATTATTTGCATACTTTTAAATATTCCACACAATTTTTAGTTTAAAGAGCCGGGCCGAACTTCCAACATTTCGAACGAATTTGGGAATAAAAAAAATCGTTAAAAATTCTGTTAAAATCTTAAGAATACCGAATATTGGGAGGTACCAATATAAGTGGGGCTATACGAAGGCCTGGACCTGCACAGATAATTTTCTGTCACTGACTGTAGTATCCGTTAGGAACTTCAAATATGAAATTTGAAATAATTCCGGTAAATAATGTCCCTAAAATGGTCAAAATATTGAATATAGGGAGGTACCGTTATATGGGGGGCTATACGAAGACCTATAACTGCATAGATAATTTTCTGTTTCTGGCTGTAGTACCTATTACGAACCAAATTCGAAACAACTCCGGTGAATAATGTTCTTAAAATCGTAAAAGTATCGATTATGGGGTGGGATAGGGTACCGTAGTAAGTGTGCTATACGATATCGTGGCCATTGGACAGTGAAATTATAAGAATTTGCAGTGAATACGGGAAAGAGCAAAGGGGTATTTATATACCAAAATTAATGATATTTTTTCATGGTAAATATTAAGTATACCAATGTCTTCTGTTCAGAGACCCGCAATGAAATTTGATCTAGAATAATTCCTTCTTTGACACTTTTTCCAAATAATGAAGTATAAAGGTATATTTTGATGCACATTGGAAACGTATTAAATTAGCCATAAAAAAACCCTTAAAACATATTTTAGTACATAAAATTCGAATGTAATTTTCTTAAAAACTATTATATCTAGATATATACTTCATTCTGAGATTTTTAGTGAAATCTTGTGTAGAACATTTCATCTTTTGACAGTTTCTACCTAAAATGAAATTTCATGGTATTTTCAGGCCTAAACTCGAAAATAAGCTGAGGAAAATTTGATGCACAAAAACTAGGAAATATTTTCGCGTTTTTTTTTTTTGGCAACATTGTTGCAGATATATTATCATGAGTTATAGTGGTAATAGAGATTTCTTTTCCCCGGTAACATTTAGTGAAATTTGATGACCAACATTTCTGTCTTTGACGTCATCCTTCTAAATTGATGCTTTGCAGGAGAAATTAGCATAAACTCGCCTGCAGTACGGTTTTCACTCTATTTTTTTTTTTTTCAAAAATCAAATAGTTTTTTTTTTAAATAGCAAAATTGAGAATATTTTTTCATGGTATATATTGATTATGCAAATTTCTTTTATTCAGAGACTCACAATGAAATTTGATGTAGAATATTTCCCTCTTTGACACTTTTCCCCAAAATTGAAGTATTAAGGAAGATTTTGGCTTGGAATTGAAACGAGCTAAATTTGCAGTAAAACACATAATTTTCACTTGTAGTACATAAACTTCAAATATAATTTTCTTAAAAACTATAAGACATAGATGTATTGTTTATTCCGAGATTTCTGGTGACATTTTGTATAGAATATTTCTTCTTTTGATACTTTTTGCCAAAAAGGAGATTTTATGATACTTTCAGGTGTTAACTCGAAAAAGGGCCGGGGAAAATGGATCACAAAAATATTTCTTCCTTTTTTAAACATTGTTACAAAAATATATTATCTTGATATATAATGAAAATAGAGATTTCTTTTCCCTGATAACTCATAGCGAAATTTGATAAAGAATATTTTTGTCTTTAACGACATGTCTCCAAAATTATGCTTTGCAGGAGAATTTGGCACAAACTCGTATAGAGTACTGCTTCAAGCTTAAATTTTAAAAAAACCCAAAAGAGGAAAAAGTGATGATGTTTTTCTCATGATTTATATTCAATATACAAACTTATATTCTTCGGAGACTAATAATGAAATTTAATCTAGAATATTCCTCTCTTTAACACTTTTTCCACAAAATGAAGTTTTAAGGGAGATTTTGGCTTATATTGGAAACGCACTAAATTAACAGTGAAAAACGTACATCATTTTCACTTGTTGTACATATTTTTCGAATGTAATTTTCTTAAAAATCCATTAGACCTAGATATATAGTTTCTTCTGAGATTTATAGTGAAATTTTGTGTAGAACATTTCTTGTTTTTATAGGTTCTACATAAAATGAAATTTTATGGCACTTCCAGGGCTCAACTCGAAAAAAGGCTGAGCATCAAATTTTATGCACAAAAACTAGGAAATATTTTCGAGTTTTTTTGACAACATTGTTGCAAATATTTTTCTTGATAAATAATGAAAATGGAGTATACTTTTCTTCAGTGACTTATAGTGAAATTTGATAAAGAATATTTTTGTCTTTAACGACATCTCTCCAAGATAATGCTTTGCAGGAGAAATTAGCATAAACTCTCCTGCAGTACGGTTTTCACTCTAATTTTTAAAAATTCAAATATTTTTTTTATATTGCAAAATTGAGAATATTTTTTTATGGTATATATTGAATATACAAATTTCTTTTACTCAGAGACTCACAATAAAATTTGATGCAGAGTATTTTCCTCTTTGATACTTTTCCCATAAAATGAAGTATTAAGGGAGATTTTGACTTAGAATTGAAATGAACTAAATTTGTAGTAAAACACATAATCTTCACTTGTAGTACCTTCATTTCGAATGTAATTTTCTTAAAAACCATTAAACCTAGATATGTATTTTCTTGTGAAATGTATGGTGAAATTTTGTATAGAATATTTCTTCTTTTGAAACTTTCTGCCTAAAAGGAGATTTTATGCTAGTTTTAGGTGTTAACTCGAAAAAGGCTGAGGAAAATTTTATGCAAAAAAAAAAAAAAAATAAATAAACATATCTGGGTTTTTGGCAACATTGTTGCAAATACATTATCTTGATATATTATGAAAATAGAGAATTCTTTTCTTCAGTGACTTATAATGAAATTTCATGAGGAATATTTTTGTCTTTGACGTTATCCTTCAAAAATGATGTTTTGCAGGAGAATTTGGCATAAACTCGTATAGAGTGCGGCTTCATCCCTAAATTTTTAAAAAACCAAAATGAGCTAAATTGAGGATATTTTTTCATGGTTTATATTCAATATACAAACTTATTTTCTTCGGAGACTAATAATGAAATTTGATTTAGAATATTCCTCTCTTTGACACTTTTCCCCAAAAATGTAGTTTTAAAGGAGATTTTGGCTTATATTGGAAACGGGCTAATTTTTCAGTAAAACAATTAATTTTCACTTGTTGTACATAAACTTCAAATATAATTTTCTTAAAACCTATAAGACCTAGATGTGTGGTTTATTCAGAGATTTCTGACGAAATTTTGTGTAGAATATTTCTTCCTTTGACACTTTTTGCAAAAAAGGAGATTTTATGATACTTTCAGGTGTTAACTCGAAAAAGGGCCGGGGGAAAATGGATCACAAAAATATTTCTTCCATTTTTAAAAATTGTTACAAAAATATATTATCTTAATATATAATGAAAATAGAGAATTATATTCTTCAGTGACTTATAGTGAAATTTCATAAAGAACATTTTTGCCTTTAACGCCATCCTTATAGAATGATGTTTTATAGGAAACATTGGCATAAAATCGTATAGAGTACGGCTTCAACCTTAAAATTTTAAAAAACCAAAATGAGCAAAATTGAGGGTATTTTTTTCATGGTTTATATTCAATATACAAACTTATATTCTTCGGAGACTAATAATGAAATTTGTTCTAGAATATTCCTCTCTTTAACACTTTTCCCACAAAATGAAGTATTAAGGGAGATTTTGGCTTAGAATTGAAACGAACTAAATTTGCAGTAAAACACATAATTTTCACTTGTAGTACATATTCTACGTATGTAATTTCCTTAAAAAATATTAAGCCTATGTATATAGTTTCTTCTGAAATGTATGGTGAAATTTTGTATAGAATATTTCTTCCTTTGACACTTTTTGTCTAAGAGGAGATTTTATGCTACTTTCAGGTGTTAACTCGAAAAAGGCTGAGGAAAAATTTATGCAAAAAAAAAATAAGAAACATATCTGTGTTTTTGGCAACATTGTTGCAAATACATTATCTTGATATATAATGAAAATAGAGAATTCTGTTCTTCAGTGACTTATAATGAAATTTCATGAGGAATATTTTTGTCTTTAATGCTATCCTTCGAAAATTATGTTTTGCAGGAAACTTTGACATAAACTCGTGTAGAGTACGGCTTCATCCCTAAATTTGTAAAAACCCAAAAAGAGCAAAATTGATGATGTTTTTTTCATGGTTTATATTCAATATACAAACTTATTTTCTTCGGAGACTAATAATGAAATTTGATCTAGAATATTCCTCTATTTAACACTTTTCCCACAAAATGAAGTTTTAAAGAAGATTTTGGCTTATATTGGAAACGGGCTAATTTTTCAGTAATGAAAATTATGTTTTCACTTGTAGTACTTTCATTTCGTATGTAATTTTCTTAAAAACTATTAAGTCTAGATATATGGTTTCTTCTGAAATTTGTGATGAAATTTTGTGTAGAATATTTCTTCTTTTGGCAGTTTCTACATAAAATGAAATTTGATGGTACTTTCAGGCCTTAACTCGAAAAAAAGCCGAGGAAAATTTGTTAAAAAAATAAGAAATATTTTTGCATTTTTTGCCTTGGATATTTTTTTAAAATTGAAATATTTTCAAAAAATAGAATTTAAATATTTTCTATGAAATCTCATTCCTTCCATCCACATTGATTTTGAACTGAATTAATTTAAATATTTTTTTTTTATTTTCTACAATAGGACACAGGCACTGTTTGCTTTGGCCCCCTTGTTATCCTAGAGTCCACTTGCTTTCATGTTTTATTTATCACCTCCCACCCAAAAAATCCAACACTTGATTCCAAATCACAAATAATCAAAAAAACTTGAAATAAATCACAAAAAAAAAAATATATTTGAACTGCCACTACTTACCTCCAAGTCCATGGCTTTCAGGGTCTGTTGTTGATTCTGTTGATTGACATAGGATAGCATGTCGCCACCTAAGGTATGACGGCGAGGATCTTCTCTCATCGTTGTTGTTGTTGTTGTCACCAATATACAATGCAGAAGCCATTATAACAGGACATGGTTTTAAAACAAACAAAGGCATTAGAAATAAAACCCCAAGAACAAAAAACAACAACAACAGAGTGAAAAAGAAGAAGAAGAATCCCAACAACAACAAAAAAAACAGAAACACGGGAAACGCTTAATGAAAAATTCAATTGCGCTTTCGTGTTTGCCTAATGTGCTCCTCTACTTACCGCCCTCACGTCCTTTGCGTTTCTTTTTGGAGCTGCTGCCACTGGAGGTACTGCTGCTGCCACCTCCACCACCACTGTTGCCAGCACCTCCGCCACTGCCACCACCCGAACTGTTGGCATTTGAAGAGTTCGCTGAACTTTTATCTTTGCTTTTCCAGCGTATTAACATTTTGAGCGGCTAGACCAGGCCTCCTCTATGCATGGGAAGAGGGAGAGCGGAAAAAGATACAAGGAGAGAAGTTTTGTAAAAACAAAAAACTGCAGCAGGACTTTGGGTTCTTGTCGTCTAAGTCCTAAAGAAAAAGGAGGAGGGTTTGAAGAGACATTTTTACACCCCGCATCAAATGAATGGCAAAAAGGACGAAAAAGGATATCATGTTTTCTTAGCAAAAATAAATATTTGATGTGCAATGACAAACACCACTCAGTGCTCCTGGCTAGGGTAGGCCAGGCACCTTGGAGATATGCACATGCCAGCCTTGTCAGGAGTTATGTGGGAGTGGGGCGCTGGGTAAATGTGTTAAAGGACAATGTTGGGATAAAATCACATGAATATTTGATAAATTCTTCTTAAGTAAAGTTGGGGCACATAAAAAAGAATGGCAAAAAGGTAAAGAAGACGAAGAAGAGGAAGAGGAATTTTATGACTTGCGGCTGGGGAGGGTGGCCAGGCACCAAGGCAATCAGCCAGCCAACCTGCCAACCAGCCGGGTCAAGAGGATGTTAAGCCACATCCAGTTCCGAATCCCAAACCCCTGCCATTGCTGCGCATGTCCTTGTTACACATATGAAATTTCACAGTTCATCTGAGACGAGGAGGGTCGTTGTCGGTCATCTCGCCCGACAAATCTGCTGTTTGTTTATGTTTGAAAAATTCAAACAAATATTTTGCCGGTAGGAATAAAAAAAATCATCACGTGCAGGTTTATCAAAAACAAAATAGAGAACTCTATGCTCTCTCTCTCTCACAGAGCGAGAGAGAAAAAGACTCAACTCTCTCACAACTCCTTGGTCATGGTAACCTAAACAAATTTTTTTCTCAATTTGTGAGAATTGAACTATGATTTTTTGGTGAATTCGAAACAAGTTGGGTAAGGTTATTGCCAGGCAATGGCTTTCAAAGTAGGCCCCCGACCAGCCAAAGATTCCAAAACTTTTCAGGGAGTTGTTGTGCCAGACCCAAGGCGTTTTAAGGTTTCAAAGTAACTGAGTTAATTGTTGCCATTTTTTTTTCTCGTTCATCATTCGACATTCTTCAACTGGGTTTAATGTTAAAGTTGAAGTGCTTAATTCCGAGAGGGGTGGCTGCTACATATATTTTCCCAGTTGCTCTAAGGAAATTCCTTTACAGCACTTTTTCACAATTTAAGATTTTTTTTTTATTTTTTCCAAAAATATTTCCTTGAATTATTTCTATTTTTTTTTCTTTTTTTCCTCCATCAACTCATTTCATTTAATTGCTACGTTTTTCCTGTCGACAGCTTCATTAAAAATTCTCACACACAAAACACACCTTTTCCAGGAATTTTCCAAAATTTCTTTTAAACACAACTTTTTTTACACAGGATATTTTTGCAATATCCTTTGACTTTCTTTCAATTTTTCTTTTTTAAACTTTTAATTCAGCAACAAATTTTCTTTGCTTTTTTTCTAAATATTTTGCTTAATTTTTCTGCTGGTATTTTTTGGACTATCGAGTCGTGTCTATTGTGAACCGTATGAACCGTTCGATACTTCTTAAATGCCTGTGAATTTCGTGTATATCATAGAAGAGTTTCCGCCCTAAATGTTTTTTGGCAGGCTGGCGAGAGCGCATGTCATATCCTTGCCACAAATTCCACCACATGGCGGTAGTTTGAAAAGCCCTGGGGAAAGTTTTACAGTCATAAGGGAGAGAGAGTAACACAATTAACGGCCTAAAAGTATGTGAAGGTTTTTGAAAGAATTATAAACACAAAATTAATTGATAGAAAAATATTAGAAAATAAAAAAATAAAATCATCAATTTTATTTTAATTAAATTTAAAAAAAAAATTAAAAAAAAAATAAATAAAAATTTTAAAATAAATAAAACAATATAAAATTTATCAGTTGGTTTTGACGACAGATGTATACCCTCGGCAAATATTGACAATTTCGTATCGGACCTTAAATATGATATAAATATTGCGACCTCTTAGCTTTGGACTATATCGACTTCTTCCTTCACTTTATATGAGATGTGTGATAATTTTTGGAAAATGTACCACACACAGGGTGAGATGAAAAAAACTGCAGCCAACTTCAGACAGCTGTCATTTCTAAGCCACTCGTCCGACAGTGACAGCTCATTATATTACTTACAAGCGTACAAAAGCATTTCGGTGAGAATTTTCCAGAATAAAAGTTATTCGTGATGGAATCCGAGCGTGATAGTGTGATTTCTTTACACTTGGCTAGAAAACCACAAGTGGCTATCGTTAGAGCACTCCAGTATTTAAATGTGAATAAATCTTTTGTGACTCGTACAATCGCTCATTACCGTGATACTAGTAGCGTAGCTCGACGTCAAGAAAGTGGACGGAAGAAAACAGCAACATCAGCAGATATGGTTCGAAAAGGTAAAGAAGCGACTTGATCGAAACCCGCTTCGCAGTGGCCGAAAAATGGCTCGCGAGCTGAACATATCGCAATATTCCATTCGGCAAATATTGAAAAATGAGCTGGGGGCCATTGAATTTCCAAAAAGTGCAAGAATTTACACCGCAACAGAAAGAAAATAGACTCAAAAGAGCTAAAGAGTTGCTTCCCTTGGCCGAAAGTGGTGAACTGCCGAATTTGGTTTTTTCCGTTCTCCGATGAGAAAACATTCGTTGTCCAGCAGTTTGTAAACAAACAAAATGATCGTGTGATCGAAGCTTGTCAAAGAGGACAGCTGAAAATTTGCTCCTTCGGTTGGCCACCATAACAGCCGATGGCCGCTCTCCGCTGGTATTTATCGACCGTGGCATCAGAATAAATGCTGAATATTATCGCGAAAATATTCTGGAGGGTGTATTAAAGCCTTGGGCGCGCAAACATTTCGGCCACAGACCTTGGACATTCCTACAGGACCCAGCTCTATCGCACTCAGCACGCGCCACCCAAGAATGGTTACAAAATGAGGTTCCTCGCATCATTTCCAGCGCATAATGGCCACCAAAATCTCCGGATACCAATCCGTTGGACTATTGAGTTTGGAGCCAGCCAGACAGGCAGATGGGCGGACATCGCTAGATCGACTCCAAATGTCCTCAAACGGATTTGGTCCAAAGAGACCTAGGGTCTAAAACCTTTATATCGATGAGGCACCGTCAAAACGGTATCAAATAATAGATATATGGCTGAGGCTATAAAAAAAAAACAGATATGTTCGGTCGGGCCGAAATTTTAATACCCACCACCATTTTCAAAGAATTTCCAAAAAAAAAAACCGTCGAAAAATACCGCTCAATGGAAAGTCGTTATATGTCTAGGGGCTATTCGAAGACGTGGTCCTGCATATACAATTTTTGTCATTAGCTGCAGTACCCATTACGAACTTTAAATACGAAATAAAATTAACAAAATACCAAATAAAAGGTGTTGCCGTTATACATGGGCTAAACGAAGACGTGGAACTATATAGGCAATTTTCCGTCATAGGTTCTAGTACCCAATACGGTCTTCAAACACGAAATTCGGAACAATTCCGGTGAATAATGTTCTTAAAATCATCCAAATAGCAAATATCAAGGGGGGTACAGTTGTATGGAGGCTATACGATATCGTGGACCTATATAGATAATTATCTTCCAGAGGCTAAAATACTACGAAGGATCTGCTTGTGTGGATTTTCAGACAATTCCATTGACAAATTTGGCTACAATCATCAAATACCGAATATCAGGGGGTACCGTTATATGGGGGCTATATGATACCGTGGACCGATGTAGCCCATCATCGGACTTGACGTGCCTGCAGACAAATTACTGATCTGTGCAAAATTTTAGCTTCCTATCTTAATTCGTTTTGACTTTAGCGTGATAACAACATACGGTCAGACGGACGGACAGACAGGACTTAACAATCTTAAAATTTTACGCTAATCGGAAAGACAAAGCGAGCGAGTCTTCATAGCTGGAGGGCCAGTGAGTCTCCATAGACGAGCTGGGTGGCCAGTGAGTCTCCATAGACGAGCTGGAGTGGGTGTCCATAGATGAGCTGGAGGGCCAGTGAGTGTCCATAGACGAGCTAGAGGGCCAGTGGGTGTCCATAGATGAGCTGGAGAGAAAGTGAGTATCCGACGATATACAAACGGAACTTGATACGATCTTCATACTATGAATGGTAGAGGGTATACAAAATTTTTACTGCATTTTATTAATAGCAAGAGGTGAGTTTACCCCCTGCCTAAAGGGTGGCATCTATAAGTGACTAAGAATAAAAATGTCTCTCACTATAACTAGAAAATATTTCCAAACATGGCGACATCTGTTTGTCGTAATTGAAAACCATAAATTCACCTCGGCACGCATAGTGCAGACAACAATCACCAAGAGTTACCACACCGCACATTGCTACCATTTTGACTTGCTAACTAATACACCATAGCATGGTGGAATACACCATAAAACTATCAAATGGTGGCTATTTATAGACACTCTCCTCAGTTAATTTTCAACACGGCGAGAGAGGTACTACTACAACATTAGAGATGTGAATTAACCACACCAAGGTGATTAATTACTAATATTTTCACCACTACATTTTTTTTCGTATTCCCACCACAAAGCAGTTTCTGCGTTCAAGTATGTAGCCTAGTCGTCAAGCAGGTCATCTTCGTATGGTATAAATTTGTTTGAGAGCGTGGGTTCGATTCCTGCTCAGGGTAGGTAGAATATTTGTACTCCGTAACTATTACTTTCCACAACGAAATTTCCCAATTCTCGTTGAATCCCTCGCCAAATATCCGCCACACGTCATTTGCTAATTTCCTTGCATTTGGAACGTGCCATTGGAAGAAGGGAGATGAAACTTCTCTGAAGGAAGCTAGGTTAGTCGTTGCACTGGTTGCTAGACGCTTAGTGCCAATCGAGATGAGAAACAATTATTTCTTTTTGGAGAAAAAATTATTAATTATAATAATTTTATAATATTATTAATTATAGTAATTAATTACAATATTATTAATTATAATAATTAATAAATATTGATCTATTCCAGAACTGCAACAATGTAAAAATTTGTGTTGCGATATTCGATTTTCCGGATTCTTGCAGCTTCTGGAACAGAGAAATTTTTTAATGAACAAATATTACTTTTTCTTTAAAAGAATATTGGAATCATATGGACAAAAATCTGTGAGAAAAATATTTATTTTTTAAAAGATAATTATCCTTATGTTTCATATTAAAAATGTTTATTTATTTATTTTTTTTTTCTTTGTAAAAAATTATAAGAAATAATTACATCATAGAAGAATACTTGTCAAATATATATATATTTAAAAAAAAAAATAATATTTTGTTTCTAATAATTTTTATAGAAAGAAGGATTCTCAAAGTACCAAATATTTATCTGGCATAAAAAATTCTAAAATAAAAATAATAAAAAAAATATTTTTCATTAATGAAAGCAGTTGTTATTATGGAAAAAATATTTTTCTTGTAGAAAGTATTTTTTGAGGATTTTAAGGAGTGTATAAAAATAATAAAAAAATAATTGTATACCCTCAACCATATGACTACAGGGGATATATATCATTTAATGCGGCCAAAACATGTCTATCGATATAAGGGTTTTAGACCCTAGTTCTAGTTGTTTTAGATTGAGTTCGGAATTGGTCAATATTGGTCCAATCCTTCCCCCATACAATTTGTTTCATTTTTCACAGAAATTTTATAGCACTTAGATTTTGATTTTGTTCGAACTTTGCAAATCCCAATATTTTTATCACTGCTAGGTCAGGTGTGATAACGGACCATTATACATCAAGTACCTCCAAAAGAGAGTGTCAAAATTTTGAATAATTATAATTCTCATAAAACGTAAAATAAGCATCCAATTTGTTAATAAACTTTACGCATTCCAACATTTGTACTAACACAAGATCTGGTGTGAAGATGGAATATATCTGGTACTTCCCCAACAAAAGGATCAAAATTTTGATTACAATTCATTCATAAAATGCGACGTAGACATCCGATTCTCTTCAAATTTAACACATCCCAACATTTTCATTAATGCAAGATCTGGTGTGAAGATGATAGATTTCGGCCTACCCCATCTGGTACCTCACCCACAACGGTTCAATATTTTGAATAAATCTGAAACTCATAAATTGCGAAATGAACTTCCGATTCTCTCCGCCTTACTAATGTAAGATCTGCTGTGAAGATGGGATTTATCGGGCCACTCATTTGATACCTCCCACACAAAAGGCAGTCAACATTTTGAATAGCAAGACGTTCATCAAATGCTACATAAGCATCCGATTCTCTTAAATTTCCACACATCCCAAAATGTTTACTAGCGCAAAACCTGCTGTGAATATTAGATATATCGGCTGCTCCTTGTGGCACCCCACCAAATCAATTTTTTCAACAATTATATCTCTCAAAAAATGCAAAAAAACATTTATTCTAAACTTCACACATTCCAAAACATCTCTTGTAAAGATGGCAGAAATC